TAAATAGAACTGCTGTACTATTTGAGTTAATATTGCAATAGATTTTCTACTAGAAATCGCTAAATATCAACAAATTAACAATATTGGACTAGTTGTTCAACATGACTCATTATTGTGGATAATTTTTTTTTAATTTAGCATCTTCTAAATTATTTATATGTGTTAAGAATTCAAAAGGAGGGTGAAAGCTAAACTATGCATCACCGGATGAAATAAAGTTATCAGACCTTGCGTAATGAAATAAAAGAAATTAATTTTATTATGTAGTATTTATTTTAATTCATAATATAAGTAGAATTAAATTTAAAAATTGCTCATTCTATTAAAATTAAAGTTAAATAAACTGAGTTGGAGGTTAAAATATTGTTTGATGATGAAGTGATTTTATTTATAAAAAAGTCTTTATTATTAAATAATGCTCAATTCAAATTTTATAAAATTTTAGTTAAAGTTATTTTAGTAGAATCATATCTCTCTCAATAAAGTTTGATGACAATTATTATCAGTTTAGCAAATGATTGATTTTCTTTATAATATATGAATTATTCATTCAAATATTTTAAACATCAATAGTATATTTTTTTGTGAGATCATCCTCTGAAAAGGAATAAATATTTACAATGTATTGAGTCTAGGTTGATTTAGTTAATAAAACTAGTAAAAGAAGCCATCTAATTTAGTCCTAGATCATTTCATTAGATCACAAATTCAATTATTAAAGAAACCTTCTTTTGTCCAACATTACTTTTTATTTAAAAGATTGGAAATCAGAGAGCACAAATTATTATTTTCCTTATAAAATCTGATATAAAAATTAATATAAAACTGATACTAATTGTTGTTATTCAAATAAATAAATGTAGAAATTGAAAACCAATAGCTAAGATCAACTCAAATAGTCTGAGCAACCTCGAAAGATACAAGAGACAAGTTCAAGTTATTTAATTTAAATACCATAACAAGAGATTGAACAGCAAAAGGAAGTAGTAATGTTCTATTTAAATTTAGCCTTTAAATTCTACTTATAACAAACAAGATCTAGTACATACTGACTAAGATCAAAAAGCCAAATCATCATTATTCAGATATTTTAGACCTTCTCCTGATCCTTAATTAGTTTGGGAACCTCATATAGACAAATAATTCATGAGTGAATTTTAGGAGTTAATAGAAAATCGCTTCAACGAGGTTAAGAGAAGTTCAAGCATTTATAAATACTATGCTAAAATAGGATTTCAAGCCTTTATATATCTTTTAAACATTCTAGAGATTATCTTTACATTAAGTTTCGATTCTTATAATAAAATTGCTGATAACTCAAGTTACTATAAATTCTGCTACACTGTCTCTATAGTTTTCTGTGTTTTACTTCACAGTGGAGCCTGGATGTACACTTATAAATTTAGGGAAGTTGCTAAAAAAATGGTTATTGTTGAAGTTGCATATTATATTTACTACATGCTCATGGGAGCATTGAGTTATTTTAAAATAGCTCCTTTTATATATTTTTACAGCAGAGACAAATCAATTAAATAGTTTTCATTTAGTGAAATAAATAAATACTTATAATTAAGCGGAAAAGATAAATTTAGAAATCCATGTATGCTTTTCAAAAAAAGAACAAAACCTGTTAATATTTTTAGAGACTTAATATTTCATAGAGTTGCACTCCTTTCCATGATTATTACCATGACTATTTAAACAATTCCTTAACTCTTCATATAAAGCTCTTATATGATTGAAAGATCTGCATGGGATGGATTTAATGTAATTAGTTTTTTATTACTATTGAGTAATTTAATCTATTACTCTTTCGAGTTATAATTTATTGTATTCACTACAACCTATAGATAAATGCAAACAGAACTACAATTTAAATTGAAGAAAATCAAGTTAAAGTTCATTTAAGAAACAAAACAGTTATTAAAATCTGATTAACAATTTATGGAGTTTGTTGAATCTTTTTATTTTCATATTGATCCTAGTAGGTTCAGCCCTTATTAAAAGAAAAGATGTATAGTTTAAATAATATTTTCCTTGATAAAGTAGAAAAAATTTTAAAATATTGAATTCCATTTTATAGATAGTTATGATGAAGTTACTTTGTAATATTTGGCTAATTGCTTTAAATTGATCAATGTAGAAAAAATACATCTTTTATATCAAGATTAAAATCACTTATCGTTTCTTCAGGATATATTTTCAAATATTCTTAATCTAACCTTCGAACTATAAAACAAGGAAAATCTTGATAATTTATGGAATGATGACATTACCGATGTTAATGCAGAAGAAGAGAAAGTCAGATAGATAAGATTTATTGCAAATCCAAAAATATCCACTGGTTTGTAAGTCGTGCAACAAAATAAAAATGCTAAACTCAAATACATAAATATCACTTAACATTTTTTACAGCTGAATCCAATAGAAATAAAAGGAGAATTTGATCCTTTAAGAAAAGGTAATAGTGTAATTATGAATTAAAAATAAACCATACTTATTTAGAATATAGAAGAATAACCTTAAGATATCATCAATGAGGCAAGAATTCAAATTAAAGAAATAACCAAAAGAACTCTATTTGAAGAGTAATATGGAAAAATTGAATTTTTGATCAAAATGTATGACTATTACGAAATCCTAAAGAAATTGAATGAGTTTTAAGTAGCTTTTCAATCTATCTCGTCATTGTTAAATGGATCGTTATAAATTATTTCTCTTATCTATTTGACTAATGATGGTGATATTTATATAACTGCATTAATAGTTTTAACAGCAATCAATCCAATTTTACAGTTATTATCATTTGCAGTCTTTTAGCATAGAGTATTTAAAATTTTTTCACCTTTGAGACAGGCGTTTTATGTTCTGTTATTTGCAATATTTAACTTTTTAAAAATATGGGATATAGTAATGGTTTGCTTATATGTTTGTGTGACAGAATTTGCTAAAGTAGTAAAAAGAGAGTTTAGTTCTGAAGGGTACTTTAAATTCAAGAGCTATGCCTCAAAATTTTCAGGCAGCATAGCTACCACAGTGTTTAATTATGAAAATGTAGCAATTAATCCCAAAAATATTTTATAAATCAAAGATGAGCCATTTTATGAGGCTGTTATGTGGAGAACTAATGTTGAAGAAGCTTTGAACAAAGTTCCTTAATTCTTTATATATGTGTTATCATTGTCATCTAAAGAATTAAATGGAGTATGGTTGCTATCTTTTTTTCAACAATTAAAAGATAGTGTTTAGGCAATAAAGGATATCTTAGATATTGTAATTAAAGACTATCTTATTCCAGCATTAATTTTAGGCGCTGTTTCAGCAGATCAATTCTTTTAATCGATGTTGTACCTGAGCTCAATATCAAATTAAATACTATTGGAATATCCTAAATCCTTCTAAATTGTTTCGAAGGTAGAGGAATAACATTTACAAGAAAAATTAACCTTTAAAATTAATCTGAAAAACATAGATTTTTCTAATTATGTAGATTTAAAAAAAAAAAAGATGCTGGCTTAGTTTAGGTATGTTCTTGCTTCAATAAAAAGTATTTTAGAAATTGATTAAGCATAAAGGTTGTTTTGTATGGGATATGAATTAAAAGATTTAATAAGATGTTTAAAAGTTAGTCCTCTTTATTAATTAAAATTGAACTATTATTTAGATGAAGTGTAACCTGCCTAAATACCTTATATTAATGGATTTATTAAAAATTGCCCAAAATAATTACAATTCTTGCAACTCTAAGTGGAATCCACAAAAGCATAATAAATGGAATTTTGTGTTGAAAGATAGGAAACTCTAAAAGCTTTTTCTTATTCTTATTTCTAATTAATACAATAATACAATAATCATTCTGGAGTAGCTTTATAGGAAACCTTGAATATAGATAAGGATTTTTTAAAGTTAGATAGGTACAATTTTGAACAGTTTTATTTTGAGGTTTTTGGTAACCTTGCATTATAGAATTGCAGTTAACTATTACAATAGTTCACTTAGATGAAAGTGTTCAAGGCATCGATTTTTAATAATGCAGGGATTCAGACTTTTTAATTTAATAGTAATTTAAGAAGTTCAAGATTGGAAATTTTAGATATCACTTTTGAAAATATTACATTAGATTTTTAGGAATTCCCTTTTAGCAATCTCAAAGTCCTCAAAATGATTTTGAAAAGGTGTGAATTTAACAAAGAGAACCTGAAGTACATCTTAGAAAGTCTACATAATTATACAAAAGTGGTTTATATAGATATGTCATAATGTTTGCAAAGCTATACAGTAGCGGAATAGAAAAGCCTAGTAAGAGGATTAGAAAGCAAAGCAATAGATGTTTTCATAAAGATTTGATAGATTAAATTTTTGTATAATATTAATTGTTTTTATGGAAAAATAATATTTTAATTACAATCTTCTTAATATTTCTGCCTATCATTATATTTATTGCTTATTCTAAAGAGTATTTAATTAGCAGATCCTCCGAATTGGTGTGCATGAAATTATTAAGAATTATTTTAATTTTACATTATATTTTATGTTAAATTTTTGATAATCAAATGATCGATTTTTCTAAAATTATAGATTTTGCCTTGTTAGAGGCATAACCTTTTAGTATCATTATTAATTAAATTTAACGACCAATAAATCAAGTATTTTTCCTAAATCAAATGAATATTACATTTAATTTAGAAAATCTACTCAATTTGTCGATAATAGTAATTTCTTTAAACTAGAGAAATACCATTATATTTTGAAATCGGATTACATATAATAATAAATATACATAACTCATTTTGATTTAAGGTAATACTATTTATTTCATAAAAACGTCTTGATAAAATCATAATTGATGTTAGATACAATATTAGTTTTAAAGAATTAGATATGATTTTGAATGTTATATATTAACTTTTTGATTTCTAAAGTGTTGATTAGTATCATAAAACATTAATTTTGAATTAAATTCAGCTGAAAGAAAGTTATATCTAGAGGATGTATTTTAAAAAATTAACTAAAATCATAAATGCTAAGCGGGTTGGATTACATCCTTTTAGAGAAAAATTGTTATCCCTATATCTTACATAATATCAATTGAAAATTCTGAGCTTAAGTTGGTTCCTATTGTGCTTAATTGAAAGCTAATTTATTAGTTGTACTTCTATCCAGAAGAATTACTTTAATTATTGTTGTTATTATTTTACACATTTTAGAAACTTTCTTAAAATATCAAATTCAATCCAAATTGAAAGAATCAAGCCCATAGCTGTACCTGGATATTTTGCTGCATTCATATCTCCCCTTCATCAAACATACGATATTGAAAATCAGTTTTTCCCTTCTAATATAAAGGTTCGATCTTATGTATAACTTTGATCGGAGAATTTTCATTAATAATATGTGGATGATGAGATTACTAAAAAGGTGACAATATTAAATTAAAAATATGGGATCAATCAATCAAACATTATAAAAGAGAGGTTAGAGTCTTAAGTAAATCAATGTCTGGATCCAAAAACTCTTACTTAAGATTTGTAACGTGCTATAATAAATTTTCGTTAATCCAATATATTTATTAAACATTATAATTTTTTTTTGCCTTAAAGGAAATATAATTTTTGGATTAGCCGAAAATCTATATAATAAATAAAAAAATGAAAAAAAAAAACAATTATTACACCAAATTTTAAGGTTTTGGTATCCCTGCCTTTTTAGACAATCATTCGCTGTAAAATTATGATAAAAAAAAGGTTTATATATGCAGTATATTAATAAAAAAATAAGTAGTTATTATAAATGCTTTTAATTATTACTGAATTAATGAATCTATTTATCAAAACAGTATAGATATTCGTACAAATTTCAAGGTTGTACAGAGGAGAGATGGGAGTTCGTGTGAAGAG